CCCTCTGGGCTCCTGACTCTTTCTGCAGCCTTTCTACTGCTACTCCTTGCCTCCTCCTTACTGCTATCTTTCTGCCACACCCCTGATCTTCTGGTAGGGAAGATCTACACCTAGCCTTCTCGGACAAGGGCGAAAAATCTCGGAGGGCCCGTGTGCAAGTTGCGCACGTTAAAGATCCCTTGGTGGTCTAAAATCGATAAGAGTAGGCTTCGGCCGCCACCCGGGCAAAATTCAAAATTTCCTACCGACTGAAAATATTAGGTGTGTCCCGCGCGCTCATATGACCTTATGCAGTTGCGAGCGCCGTAAAACACTTTACAAAAACAAAACAAACAAAGCAAGCTCTCTCTCCCTCCCCATCTCTCCCACTTTCTCTCTCTTTTTTTTGCTTTATCTCCCTTTGTCTGTCTGTCTGTCTGTCTGTCTGTCTGTCTGTCTGTCTGTCTGTCTGTCTCTGTCTGTCTGTCTGTTTGTCTCTGTCTCTGTCTCGGTCTCGGTCTCTGTCTCTCTGTCTGTCTGTCTGTCTGTCTGTCTGTCTGTCTGTCTGTCTGTCTGTCTGTCTCTCTCTCTTTCTTTCTCTCTTTCTGAGAGACATTGCTGCATGGTCATTGTCTTGAAAATGTGTTGTTTTTTTGGTAACTTCCAAATAAACGTAATTTTGTCTTCCCGGTTTCAGAGTGACGTCATATATGAGGCTGATCTTCAGAAGATGGTGTCAACAGGCCTTAGCACTTTTTTCAGAAGAGGCCCGAGAAGTATACCGAAAAATGCTGGAATACAGATCATAGCGGTAAAGGTCAAATATGGCACCCCCCCCCCCCAACACAAACAAAAACAAACAAACACACACACACACACTCACACACAAGCACACACACATATATATATATAAATATTGATAAATATTATATATGTATGTATGTATGTATGTATGTATGTATGTATGTATGTATGTATGTATGTATGTATGTATGTATGTATGTATGTATGTATGTATGTATGTATGTATGTATGTATGTATGTATCTGTCCACACACACACACACACACACACACACACACACACACACACACACACACACACACACACACACACACACACACACACACACACACACACACACACACACACACACACACACTCACCCTGGTATGATATATGATATATAAATCTGATTGTAAGCAAATGACCCTTTATAAACGAATCGTAGACTTGTTTGCTGTCTCTGGCTTAGGCAGATAACACGATCATGTATTGTACGCTAATTGTAGCTAAATTCCTTGTAACATGGTTGAACTTCTCGGTAAAAATCTATGCCTATCCTTACTGTTAATGTAAATAAATAGGTGTCACAATGTATTCGGTTATACAAAACATTCCTAGTGACCCAAGTATTTATTCGATATTTCTGGTTTGTAACAGTAAGTTCGTTTTTGTTCCATGATATATTTTAGAGGGTTTTAGCTCTTTTTCTCTTTAACTTGTCCCCTGTCCCTCCTTGTTGCTGTCTTTCTGAAACGGAATAAAGTTTGCCTTCCACCTCTGCTATTGTCATATTAATCCCCTCTTCCCCCTTATCTTTGTATGTTATACCCCCCCCCCCCTTTCTCTCTCTCTCTTTCTCCCTGTCTCAGCTATTGTATTAGGCATGCCCCACCCCCCTCTCTCTCTAGAGCCTAGATGTACAACGTAGCACTTTGGTGTGTATGTTTGTATACATACAGTGGAACTCGGATTCAACAAGGTCGCCGGGCCTGACCTAAAGTCTCGCTGAATCTGAGTGTTCGTTATAGCAAACACGAGGTTTTGTGTAGATATAATAACAGGCAGTGAGCAAGTTATGTATAAAGAGAAGTCACAAGTAGTGCCTGTAATGTCTGCATATTATGAGCTGTGTAAAGAAAAAGACCGATTCGTTCAAATGCACGCCTGTGTCATCTCAATTGCTTACCAAAAAGTTGTGTTGCTGTGTAGAGCCGAGCATACGGCAATTTTTGATTCCATAGACCAGTGCACAATTCATTACGTAGATCTACGTCAAGACTAGCGTATCATTGTAATAGTGATCAGTTGCCGAGGGGAAAAGAAAGACTGTGACTCGTTTGTATCTGCGAGGTTCAACACCCGAACCGCTAGTGCCACCCCCACCCCCTCCCCGACACGCACGCACAGTCACACATGTGCAGACCGCCCATCCGACCGCGACACTCGCCAGAGTAGACACGTGCACGTGCCAACAACGCATGTGTTGGTATGAAAAAAGGCCACTGATTGGTCGCATG